CTACTATTATAGTCCTTGTTCACTCCACTACAGCCACACAGGCCCCAGTGCTCTTCCCCAAACATAGCAGACTTACACAACCCATAGAGCTCTGTTTGTTTCCTCTGCCTAGAATGCACTTGCTGGTGTGACTAATTCCTTTACCTCCTTCAAGCTGTTTAATCATCACCTTGTTACACAGGCCTGTGCAACTCCTGTTTATGAATCTTCTATTACCCTTACATCTATTCTCCCTTCTTTCTGCAAACCATTTATCACCTTTTCATCTACAAAATAATGTACTTTGTTTTTTATTGAGGTAAAATATACATATATAAATTACCATCCTTACCATGTTTTTACCATATTTTCATGTATACCTGTTGGCCATTTGTATATCTTCTGTTGAGAAATGTCTACTCAAATCTTTTACTCATTTTAAAATCAGATTATTTGTTTTTGTTTTTGTTCGCTATGGAGTTGTTTGAGTTCCTTATATTAATATATTTTTGGTTGTTAATTCCTCGTCAGACGGATAGTTTGCAAATATTTTCTCCCACTCTGTGGGCTATATCTTCACTTTGTTGATTATTTCCTTTGCTGTGCCCAAGCTTTTTAGTTTGATGTAATCCTAATTGTCTATTTTTGCTTTGGTTGCCTGTGCTTTTGCAGTCTTACCCAAGAAACCTTTGCCAAGATCAATGTCCTGAAGTGTTTCCCTAATGTTTTCTTCAGGTAGTTTCATAGTTTCAGGTCTTAGATTTAAGTCTGTAAACCATACGGTCTAGCAGGGAGTGCACTTGCTTTTTATTGTCTATCTCCCTCTGCTAGAAAGTCAGCTCCATGTGATTTTTGTCTGTTTAGTTCACAGATGTACCTCAAGGGCCCAGGATGGTGCCTGCACCATAGAAGGGGCCCAAAATTTTGATGACTGTGTGATTATAGCCTAATTTAATAATGGAGGGGATAACATAAAAGCAGTAGAAAGGAATATAAGTGAGAAACAATTTTGAAGAATAATTGACAGAACAAGGCGATTCAAAGACAAAGGGGAAGAAGATAGCCAAGATGACATATTTCAAGTACGGATAATGCTGGAGAAAAAAAATTAAGATATAAATCTTTGTAGATGTGAGGAATGAAGAAGCAAGGTTAGAGTTTGTCTGGCACAAAATAAGTGGAAGGTCTAGACTTGAAACTTACAGAAAATTCCACGAAGTACAAAGTAAAATGGAGCCAGTAAAATAACAAAGATAGAATAAATGACTCTAGAAGAGCGAAGGTAAAATAAATAATCAGTGAAGTTGGACTAGAGCCAATATTTCCCAGAGGATAAAATATGAACCAAGTTATTGTGAGCCTAACACATATATACATACATACATCTATATATGCTTTATATATATTATCACATTAAATTCAAGCAAAGTTGTTTAGAAAATTACTTGCTCTTCTGTACATATACCAGGCTTCCTCCTCCATAGAGCCTTATCTCTAGCTGCTTCCTCTGCCTAGAATATACTTATCTAGGTACTCCTTGGGCAATTGTCTTGAGAAAGATGATCAGGCAGTTTACTGCTTGATAAATGAACATACAATGCAGCACACTAGTTTCCCTTTAGATTTATATCTTCACCCCTCAAATGAGTAGTCACACTGCTTGGAAATCCTACTGCATTTCTCTTATAAATGAACCTTCCCTCTTTTTCTTTCTTTTTTTGAGACAGAGTCTTGCTCTGTCACCAGGTTGGATCGCAGTGGCCCGATCTTGGCTCACTGCAACCTCCCACTCCCTGGTTCAAGTGATTCTCCTGCCTCAGCCTCCAGAGTATCTGGGATCACAGGCACGTGACACCACATCCAGCTAATTTTGTATTTTTAGTAGAAACAGGGTTTCACCATGGCCAGTCTGGTCTCGAACTCCTGAACTCAGGTGATCTGCCCGCCTCGGTCTCCTGAAGTGCTGGGTTTACATGTGTGAACCACCACACCCAGCCTACTTGTTTCTTTCCTCATTGCTTGCAAACACCATTTCATTCTTCAAAACAAACCTGAAAGGCCTCCCTTAACCTTACATTGCCCTCTAACAAGTTATTTATTTCTCTGTTTTTCTTTGGAGCTAAACTTCTTCTTTTTTTTTTTTTTTTTTTTTTTTGAGATGGAGTCTCGCTCTGTCACCCAGGCTGGAGTGCAGTGGCCGGATCTCAGCTCACTGCAAGCTCTGCCTCCCGGGTTTACGCCATTCTCCTGCCTCAGCCTCCCGAGTAGCTGGGACTACAGGCACCCGCAACCTCGCCTGGCTAGTTTTTTGTATTTTTGAGTAGAGACGGGGTTTCACCGTGTTAGCCAGGATGGTCTCGATCTCCTGACCTCATGATCCGCCCGTCTCAGCCTCCCAAAGTGCTGGGATTACAGGCTTGAGCCACTGCGCCCGGCCTGGAGCTAAACTTCTTAAGAGTTTCATTTACAGATCCTGCATTCACTTCTCTCTCATTCACATTTTGACCAACTGCAATTTAGTTTCTTTTCTCACACCACTCGGAAGCTGCTCTCCTCAGTATGAAGTGACCTTCATACTACTAAAAGCATGGACACTTTCCTGCCTTCATCTTTTTTTTTTAACCTCTCAGCAGTATTTGACCAGAAAATGACCACTCTGTTCTTTAAGAAACAGTCTCCTCTCCTGCTTAATGTAGTCGCATCAGATACAACTTTCCCTATAACCTTTATGCATTTTCTGTTTTCATGCATATCAGCCCAACCTGCAACTGTCAGTATCTCCCAGTCTTTCAACAACTGCTTGTGAAATACCCCTGTATATGGCAATCCAGAAATGCCAGAAAATTATCAGCTGTCTCCGGGATCATCTATTAACTATGGGGGAAGCTGGATAAATAGTCCAGGTCCTTTGAGCCTCATGTAGAATAACTTTGGGGCTTGGTAATATTTTTTTTTCCTGTGGTAATTCCCTTATTTGCAGTTCAAGGCTATTATGGGAAGAAAACAAATGATTTTAGTTCTTCAAGGTTTTTCTGTAACACTGCACCATTGGGACCTGATGCCCAATTAAACATTTTTTTAAGTTGTTTGGTCTTTTTTTAAAAATAAAAACTAAATGCTATTTTTGCTTTTACTTTTAGTTGACATGTAATAATTGTTCATACTTAGAAGATGCAGAGTGATATTTTGATATATGTGTACCATGTGTAATGATCAAATCAAGGTAATTAGCATATCTATCACCTCAAACATTTGTCATTTTTTTATGTTGGGAATATTCAGAATCCTCTCTTCTAGTTATTTGAAAATATACAATAAATATTGTTACCTACCGTCACCCTACAGTGCTATAGAACAGCAGACCCCTTTTGGCACCAGGGACCAGTTTCCTGGAAGACAGTTTTTCCAACGGGGTGAAGATGGTGGTGGGGATGGTTTCAGGATAAAACTGTTCTACCTCAGGTCATCAGGCATTAGTTAGAGTCTCACAAGGAACACACATCCTAGATCCCTCACATGCACACAGTTCACAATAGGGTTCATGCTGTTATGAGAATCTAATGCCTTGGCTGATCTGACAAGAGGTGGAGCTCAGGTGGTGATGCTCACATATCTGCTGTTCACCTTTTGCTGTGCGGCCTGGTTCCTAACAGGCCATGGACCAGTACCCATTGGCTGCCTGGGGGTTGGGGACCCCTGCTATAGGACACTGGAACCTTTTCCTCCTATCTAGGTGTAATTTTCTATCTGTTAACCAACCTCTCTCTATCCTCAATTCCCTTCCCAGCCTCTAGTAATCACTATTCTACAGTCTACTTCTATGAACTCAACTTTTTTAGCTCCTACTTATGAATGAGAACACGTGGCATTTATTTTTTTGTGTCTATTTCACTTAACGGAATGTAACATGTCCCCCAGGCTCATCCATGAGTCTGAGGCTTATTTGTAGCCTGGCTGCTGGGCTTCCCTGTGGGATTGTCCTCTGAGCAAACAGAACACAGCCATGTTGCTGGCCAGCAGTTGATAGATGATCTCATGATAATAACAGGTTATAACTCACCTTTTATTGGATTTCTTGCTTTCTTGATTTCTACATTTCTCCACTGATTTTTTTGAGGGAGGAATTTTCTCTCAACTAAACTATTATATTCAAATCTTTGCTGGAGCTCTGCTTTGCTGGGGGTCTGCTTTAAGACTCTAGTGTCTTATTCTCCCGTTCTGATCTGACTTATCTTATTGGTCCTTTTAAGTCGTTTCCTCTTATCTGATCTCTTATCTTATCTGATCTCTTAATATTGAAACTCACTAGAATTTAATTCTATTCCTCTTTTTTTCTCATATTATTTCAACCCACCATGGTTTATCAATTTCTGTACTTTAAATGCTATCCGTAAGCATCACATTTATTGATTTGCATATGTCAAACCAACCTTGCTTCCCAAGGATAAAGGCTACTTGATCATAGTGGGTAAGCTTTTTGATGTGCTGCTGGATTCAGTTTGCTACTATTTTGTTCAGGATTTTTGCACTGACGTTCATCAAGGATACTGGCCTGAAATTTTTTTCTTGTGTCTCTGCTAGATTTTGGTCTCAGGATGATGCTGGCCTCATAGAATAAGTTAAGGTGGAGTCCTGCCTTCTCAATTTTGGGGGAATAGTTTCAGTAGGAATGATACCAGTTCTTCTTTGTATATCTAGTAGAATTCAGCTGTGAATCCGTTTGGTCCTGGGCTTTCATTTTCATCCTTTCTATCCAGGTTTCGTATCAGTCTAAGTATGCTCTCTCTCTCTCTGTCCCTGTCTCTCTTTTTCTACCTTCCTCCTTTTCTCCACATAACTTCTTTAATGGCACATGGCACAATTTTAATATACACTTTTTGTTGTCTTGTTTGTCTCTTTCAATGGCTTTTTGTATTTGACATAATATTAGTCTAGATGTCAGTCAGTATAAACTTTTGAATGAATGAAAAGTTGTGTTGATGCCAGAGTTAAAAATTTGACCTCTATTTTATTCTCTACAGGTAGCTTTGAACCCCAAAAATGTTGGAAGAATAATATAGGATATTGCAGAAGACGATGTTTAGATACTGAAAGGTACATACTTCTTTGTAGGAACAAGCTATCATGCTGCATTTCTATAATAATATCATATGAATACACTCGACGACCACCATTTCGTGTGATTCACCTAGAGGATATAACATTTGATTATAGTGATATGGGCTCTTTTACTGGTTCCCCAGTATCTAAGTTGAGTGATCTGGTAACATTTGACATACGTAGAGAAACCATGACCCCCAAGACCAATACTCCCGAGACTACTATGCCACCATCCGAGACCACTACTTCCAAGACTACTATGCCATCATCCAAGACCACTACTTCCAAGACTACTATGCCACCACCTTCTCAGATGGCTCTTACTCATAATTAATTAACATTTACTTCTGGTATGGAACAACTAGAAATACTGCTGGAAATACTATCCAAAGAGCTGATTCTACCAATCCAATTTCACCTGGAAAATTCCATCAGGGATTGGATGAGCATGGGGATGGACATAATTTCTACTACTAAGACAACAGCCAAGACAGTTGCCTTGCAATTAGAAACATGTAGACAGAAATGTATAAAAGATACAAGGATTCTCTTAATTGGACTTAAAGTCTTTATCTGTCTTCCTCTGATGTACTAAAATATGTGAGCTAATTTTTGTCTTAAGTGAACATTTGTATGTCTATGTATTTTTCCATGCCAAAAACAAAAACGAAGACCATTGTTTGGAGCTGCCTATTATGTCTAAGACAAGAATTTTTACTTTAACAGTGCCTGGCCCACTGCTATCATATATAGGAGAACATATAAAAGCATATAGAAAGACGGTTCCAGACAAATGTTCCCTTCTCTACCCTCCACCTTTTATTGTAAGAACTTACAATACTTCTGTGTGTCATGACGTCAAATTTTGTTTAAGGTTCTAGCTGGTAACTAACAGTTAGTTAGTTAGAAGCTAATTCTTTCATTCAGCACAAGCACTGATCTCACTGGATAGAGATAAAAGTGGGACTTGTCTTGAGAGTACATCATATTAAATTAAAAGCTGCATCTCAAATTCTACTTATCTTTCCAATCTTCTTTCCGCTTAGAAGTCCAACTTCCAACTATGGCAGCCTCATAACATGCCTCCTCAGGTCTCTGTTTTGTCCACGTTAGTTGTGTGCAGTGTTTCTATGCTTCGTATGGCTGTACGCATGTGACTGCTGTTTGTATGGCAACAGATGGGTCAGTAAGTGTTTTCTATGATACTACAGAGAAGCGGTTATTAACTATAAAGTTGATTAGGGTTTTTTTTTGTTTTTTTTTTTTGAGACACAGTCTTGATCTGTCGCCCAAGCTGGAGTGCAGTGGCACGATCTCGGTTCACTGCAAGCTCTGCCTCCTGGGTTCACACCATTCTCCTGCCTTAGTCTCCTGAGTAACTGGGACTACAGGCACCCACCACCACGCCTGGCTAATTTTTTGTTATTTTTAGTAGACATGGGTTTTCATCATGTTAGCCAGGATGGTCTCGATCTCCTGACCTCGTGATCCACCCGCCTTGGCCTCCCAAAATGCTGGGATTACAGGCATGAGATACTGTGCCCAGCTGACTATTATTATTATTTTTTAACTTTAAGTTCCGGGAGAGGGCCGGGCGCGGTGGCTCAAGCCTGTAACCAGCATTGGAGGCGAGACGGGGATACGAGTCAGGAGATGAGACATCTGGCTACAGGTGACCCGTCTATAAAAATAAAAAAAAGCGGGGAGGGGGGGTAGTAGGGGGCTGAGGAGGAGAAGGGGAACGGGAGGGGAGCTGCAGGAGTGAATCACCACTGCACTCCAGCACGGGCAGAGAGACTCGTCTCAAAAAAAAAAAAAAAAAAAAAAAAAAAAAAAAAAAAAAAAAAAAAGTTCGGAGAGAAGTGCAGAACATGTAGGTTTGTTACATAGGTATACATGTGCCATGGTGGTTTGCTGCACCCATCAGCCCATCATCTAGGTTTTAAGTCCCACATGCATTAGCTATTTGTCTTAATGTTCTGCCTACCCTTCCCCACACACCCTGACTGGCCCCCATGTGTCATATTCCCCTCCATGTGTTCTCATTCTTCAGTTCCCACTTATGAGCAAGAACACGTGGTGTTTGGTTTTCTGTTCCTGTGTTAGTTTGCTGAAGATGATGGCTTCGCGCTTCATCCATGTCCCTGCAAAGAGCATGATCTCATTCCTTTTTATGACTGCATAGTATTCCATGGTGTATATGTACCACATTTTTTTAATCCAGTCTACCATTGATGGGCATTTGGGTTGGTTCCTTATCTTTGCTATTGTAAATAGTGCTGCAGTAAACATGCGTGTGCATGTGTCTTTGTAATAGAATGATTTGTATTCCTTTGGATATATGCCCAGTAAGGGGATAGATGGGTCAAATGGTATTTCTGGTTCTAGATCCTTGAGGAACTGCCACACTGTCTTCCACAATGGTTGAACTAATTTACATTCCTATCAACAGTGTAAAAGCATTCTTATTTCTCCACAGCCTTGCCAGCATCTATTGTTTCTTGACTTTTTAATAATCGCCATTCTGACTGGCATGAGATAGTATCTCATTGTGGTTTTGATTTGCATTTCTCTAATGAACAGTGATGTTGAGCTTTCTTTCATATGTTTGTTGACTGCATAAATATCTTCTTTTGAGAAGTGTCTGTTAATATCCTTCACCCACTTTTTGATTTTTTTTTTTTTTCTTGTAAATTTGTTTAAACTCCTTGTAGATTCTGGATATCAGACCTTTGGTAGCTGGGTAGATTGCAAAACATTCCTCCCATTCTGCAGGCTGCATGTTCACTCATGATAGTTTCTTTTGCTGTGCAGAAGCTCTTTCATTTAATTAGATTCCATTTGACAATTTTGGCTTTTGTTGCAATTGCTTTTGGCATTTTCGTCATAAAGTCTTTGCCCATGCCTATGTCCTCAATGGTATTGTCTAGGTTTTCTTCTAGGGTTTTTATGGTTTTGGGTATTACATTTAAGTCTTTAATCCATCTTGAGTTAATTTTTGTATAAGGTGTAAAGAAGGGGTCCAGTTTCAGTTTTCTGCATATGGCTAGCCAGTTTTCTCAGCACCATTTATTAAATATGAGTAAATTCACACATGACACTGTTAACCTTAAATGTAAATGGGCTAAATGCCCCAATTAAAAGACACCGACTGCAAATTGGATAGAGTCAAGACCCATCGGTGTGCTGTATTCAGGAGACTCACTGCACGTGCAAAGACACACATAGGCTCAAAATAAAGGAATGGAGGAAAATTTACCAAGCAGATAGAAAGCACAAAATAGCAGGGGTTGCAATCCCAGTCTCTGTCAAAACAGACTTTAAACCACCAAAGATCAAAAAAGACAAAGAAGGGCATTACATAATGGTAAAGTGATCAATTCAACAAGAAGAGCTAACTATCCTAATATATGTGCACCCAATACAGGAGGACTCAGATTCATAAAACAAGTTCTTAGAGGCCTACAAAGAGACTTAGACTCCCACACAATAATAGTGGGAGATTTTAACACTCACTGCCAATATTAGACAGATCAATGAGGCAAAATTAACAAGGATATCCAGGAATTGAACTCAGCTCTAGATCAAGTGGACCTAATAGACATCTACAGAACTCTCCACTCCAAATCAACAGAATATACATTCTTCTCAGTGCCACATTACACTTATTCTAAAATCGACCACATAATTGGAAGTAAAACACTCCTCAGGAAATGTAAAAGAACTGATTAGTTATTAATAAATTGGGCTGATGCTTGGGTGCTACTGAAAGCCACAATATCAGACGCCAGAATGTCTCAAAATCAAAAAGATTTATTCCACTAATTATTTTTTATGTGATCCAAGCCAAGCTGCCAGTGACTATGGCTGTAGTTTGGATGTTGACCATCAGACCACTGACCTTTCAGTAGACCTCATATTCTAATAGGTCTTAGACCACCAGTTAGGGTGTCCATCATTCAGATTTGATTGGGACAGAGGGGCTTCCCAGAACATGGGAATTAGAGAGCTAAAATGAAGGAAATCCAGAGTAAATTGGGACAAGTTGATCCACCCTCACTTCAATGTACTTCTGTCTAACAAGCGCTTTTTCCATTTTTCATGGCTATACCTCATCACATAGGTCATACATTGGCTTTTCACAGAAACAGTCTAGGGTGCTCTTTTTCCATATTTCTGCCTCAACTGTCATTTCTTGAAACATACTCTTTGACCATGCAGAGCACCTCCCATTCTACTTTGTATTATTTTCTTCCCATCATTTGAACTCTGAAATCATTTTGAGTATTTACTTTCTTTCTGATTTTTTCTTTTTACTAACTTATGGCCTAACACCCCTGCTATAATGTACATATACTCCTCATCTCTTGGTCTTGTTGACATCTGTGATCCAAACTGCAAGAACAGTGCGTCACACATGGGAAATCCTCAATAAAAGTTTGCGAACAAATTATTCAGGCAGTTATCTTAATATATATGAGAAGGTTATAGAATATAAAACAGTAGTCTTCAAACTGCAATACTGGTTACAAAAAGATTTTTCAAGCTATACATATTGATAGTTTAAAGGAATAAAATTTCAGACCCTCAACTTCCAAATTTCTTACGATGTTTTGGAGCATTCTTAACAGGCTCTTCTTTTATAACTCCAAGTTCTCAATTTTCCTTCTCCCACTCTGAAAAGAAAACTTACCTCTCACTCACCCTTTATCGGACAATCATGGATTGCCCTGAGTGAACAAACCTCCAGTGGACAATTGAAATACTGGTGCTGATATTCAGAAAGTGAATAATCATAGACTTTGCGTAACAAATCCTTTGGAAATAAAAGTGTTTTAAATTTTTTTTTATTTACAAAAGCAATGATGGGGGTGTCAATCAAGTTGATGGTTAATATTAAATAGATCCTTAAAGATAAACTTTAATAATAGCCTACTATGAAATTGTTAGCATATAACTTGGAAGAGGTTAAAAGAACTGTGTAAACATTAGAGTCTTATATTCAAAGAGATTTCACAATAATAAGCTACAATGTATGTCTATGTTTTGTCATAGAGAAATGTGATAGATTAATAAAAGACTTGCAAACACAGAAATATAGTACATTAGGATCAAATTTTGTAGAGAAGGTTGAATAAAAACTAAAGGTTTAAAAAGAAAAAAAGATATAATATTCCCAATTGCTAAAAAAGAGCTTCTTTGTGTATTTATTAAATGAATTATTGTGATTAGCAAATTGTCATGCATTCATATTCCATTGGATGTATTTGGTATTTAGTTGTTACATGTCAATATTTGTAATATGCTATTAATTGTCTTTTTATGATTAAAATTTAAGATGAAATAGTTTATTTCCTAATTTTAAATTGTATTGGGAAAATACACACTTTATTTTTATGCCGAGCATAGACTTTTTGTTCCTTCTAATTGGAAGAGAGCTTTGCAATTTGCAATTAGTATATGTGTGACTTTTAGGAATGCTTTTTTTTTTTTTGAGACGGAGTCTCACTCTGTCTCCCAGGCGGCAGTGCAGTGGCGCAATCTCGGCTCACTGCAAGCTCCGCCTCCCGGGTTCACGCCATTCTCTTGCCTCAGCCTCACCAGCAGCTGGGACTACAGGCGCACACCGCCACGCCACGCTGATATTTTTGTATTTTTTAAAGTAGAGACGGGATTTCACCGTGTTAGCCAGGATGGTCTCGATCTCCTGACCTCGTGATCCGCCCGCCTCGGCCTCCCAAAATTCTGGGATTACAGGCGTGAGCCACCGCGCCCGGCCCAGGAATGCTCTTAACCACTTCATCAAGCATCAGCGTTGGTACTGTCTAGATGTTGGTTTTGATTGCCAACCTACAAAAGAAAAGGGAAATTATAAAAGAGAAAATAAACAAGTGAGTACAGTTTCAAAATCTGTCCTGCAAATGTGTTTTAAATCAAAGAAATCATCTTTGACATGAGCTATTCGCTTTATAGTCATTCAGAATTGCTTGGTCTCTGTCTCCTGAAGACTGTGGTTAGGATTATTCCTGATGAATGAGAAAGTTACCATAAATCAAAGATAAAATGAATAGAATAACTTAACAGTTGACTCTCAGAAGAGGGTATCTACTCTCACTTTGCACTGGTTTTATATATACATATATATATACACACACACACATATACATACACACACGTAATTGTATAATATGTATACTTTTATAGATTGATTTAGAAGGTACAGGTGTTGTTTTCTTAC